AAGGTCATCTAGCAGGTGCAAGTGGAGGAGTGGGGAATCAAACCCGGTTCTCCCAGATTAGAGTCTGCACACTTAACCACTACACCAAACTGGCTCCGTCCCGTGGTCTAGCCAGGAAATGATCCTCCGTTTTGACGGGACTAGTCTGTGTGGATCCTCCCTCCCTCTCAATATGAACTCTAGAATTCTGTGAGGCCCATAGAGGTAGGGGAAAAAACACAGGCCAAGCCTTTAGTAAAAGCTGAAAGCTGCCACTGGGGCCCTGGTTCTCTCTGGAGGCATTGAAACTGGCATACTTTAAACCGGCCTGCTTTAAATTGGAATTTAGACCCTGAAAACCAGTTCTGTATCAGACTAGGAGCATCTTTGTGGGCCACGCTGGGATTGTGTCTCCTTGGAGAGCCAGTTTGGTGCAGTGGTTATGTGCGCGGACTCTAATCTGGGAGAACGGGGTTTGATTCCGCACTCCTCCACTCGCACCTGGCTGGATGACCTTGGGCAAGCCATAGTTCTGATAAGAGCTGTTTTTGAAAAAAAGAGCCGTTTCTGTCAGAGCTCTCTCAGCCCCGCCCACCTCACAGGGTGTCTGTTGTGGGGAGGGGGTTTGTAAGCCGCTTTGAGACTCCCTTGGGTAGTGAAGGGCAGGGTATAAATCCAATCTCCTCCTCCTCCTCCTCCTCCAACTCCTCTGCTGCTGCTGCTTCTTCTTCTTCTTCTTCTTCTTCTTCTTCTTCTCCTCCTCCTCACGGGGTGTCTGTGGTGGGGAGGGGAAGGGAAAGGAGTTTGTCAGCCGCTCTGAGACACCTTTGGGTAGTGAAGGGTGGGGTATAAATCCAATCTCCTCCTCTTCTTCTTCTACCTCACAGGGTGTCTGTTGTGGGGAGGGGGAAGGGAAAGGAGTTTGTAAGCTGCTCTGAGACTCTGAGTGAAGGGTGGGGTATAAACCCAACCTCCTCCTCTTCTTCTTCAACCTGGAGGGCAGGCCTCCTATGTAGTGTTGCCAACTCCCAGGGGAGGCCTGGAGTTCTCCTGGAATGACAAATGATCTCCAGACCGTAGAGATCAGTTCCCCCTGGAGAAAATTGGCTGCTTTGGAGGGTGGAATCTGTGCCATTGCACTTAGCTGAAGAAGAAGAAGAAGAAAAAGAGATTGGATTTACACCCGGCCATTCACTTGGAGTCTCAGGGCGGCTTACAAACTCCTTTCCCTTCCCCTCCCCACAACAGACACCCTGTGAGGTAGGTGGGCCTGAGAGAGCTCTGACAGAAACTGCTTTTCAAGAACAGCTGTGCCAGGACTATGGCTTGCCCAAGGTCATCCAGCAGATGCAAGTGGAGGAGTGGGGAATCAAACCTGGTTCTCCCAGATTAGAGTCCGCGCACTTAACCACTACACCAAACCACTACTACTACACCAAACCACTACACCAAACTGGAGGAGATGGGATTTATACCCCGCCTTTCACTCAGAGTCTCAGAGCTCCTTTCCCTTCCCCTCCCCACAACAGACACCCTGTGAGGTCGGTGGGGCTGAGAGAGCTCTGACAGAAACTGCTCTTTTTCATCCCTCCTGCAAGATTTAAAGGGCCCTTCAGCTGATTGACAGGGGGCACGTGGCCCGTCAATCAGCTGGAGGGCCCTTTAAATCAGGGGTGTCAAACCTGCGGCCCAGGGGCCGGATCAGGCCCCCGGAGGGCTTCTATTAGGCCTGCAGTGGAGCTGGCCATCTCCTGCTTCTTCTTCCAGTTCTGCTGCTGCTGTATCATCATAGGTTTGCAGCTTACAGATGCACACCTGAACAGCAGACTCAAGATTGCAGCAGCACAGGCATTTTGATTCAGTCATTCAGAGCAAGAGGTATCAGTTCTCAGACAATGTCAAATAAACGAAATATTGCAAGAGTGCTAATGTTTTACGCATGTTTTTATTTTAAGTAAACCCCCCCCCCCTTTGTGTCTGTGTCCTTTATACAGTTTATATCTCCGCTACCCGGCATTACATTTTATGACACACATGGCCCAGGGGCCCAACAAGGTCTCGTTTATGTCAGATCCGGCCCTCATAACAAATGAGTTTGACACCCCTGCTTTAAATTTTGCAGGAGGGGAGGGAGAGGGGTGCACGCCACCCCCCTCATTATGACAAATAATGCCAGCCCCACCAGAAAAAATCTTGTCCCACAAGCCACAAAATCCTAGCCACGGGCCTGCCTGTGAAGGGCTCCAGAATACTTCTGCCTTACTTTTGGGCTCCGTTCCAGAAACAAATATAAGAAAAGCTAGAAAATGTCTGGAAAGAGCTTCTGGGTAAGGAGGGGATTGGAAGAGATTAGGCTCTTGAGCTCGGTAAGAAAAGGGAGGATAGAGATCTATGCCGGGATCCCGATTAGTACGGAGAAACCAGCCGCGGGGCTGTCATTTATCCTTCCTTATAATAAGAGGACTAGGAAGAGGCGCCGGATGAGACGAGTAGGCGGTGAGTCTGCCAGGAGCCTTTCCTTGGGCTGAGACCCATACGGAAGGCGGTGCCAGGGGGACGGGTGCTGAGAACACCAGGCTCCCTGCTCCGGGAGAGCCAGGGTCCCGATCCTGATGGGCCACCTGCAGCGTAAATAAAGCCAGGCAGCCTGTCCCAGGGGATCGCCTGGGAGGTGAGGGTGGAGGACAGAGGTCAGGTGAGGTTGCGAGGCAGGAATGTGGAGTGAGCCGCAGAGAGCGGGAGGAGCTCTCCGCCGGAAGCACCTGCAACTCGGGGAGCTTTCCCGGAGCCAGGTAACTGTCACATGCCCAACTTCCAGCCAATCGGGAACGGTGGAAGAAAGCCCCCAGGGGCCTTGTCATTTTTTTCTCCTGCACCCCGTCTGAGGACTCCAAATCACACATCCCAGGTCCATTTCTCGTAGGGATGCCAGGTTCCAGCTGGGATCCGGAGATGCCCTGGAATTACAGCTCATCTCCAGACTGCAGAGATCAGTTCCCATGCAGAAGAGGGATGCTTTGGAGGGTGGCCTTTATTGGCTCCGTACCCCACCGAGGTCCCTGTCCTCCCCAGGTTCCATCCCCAAATCTCCAGGAGTTTCCCAACCTGGATCTGGCAACCCGAACTGCTGGTGGAGCTTGGTTTCCAATGTTGGACTAGTCAGACTCAATTGGTCGCCGTCAGAAGCCCGAACGCAAAGTCCGTAAAACGCCCTCACCGAAATCTTGGAGCGAACCCCATAACGGGTGTATTCCCCACTTTCTCCTATTTTTTGCTTCATTTATTCGGGCTTTGTTAGCTGTGCAAAGGAGCAAGGAGCTATAATGGTGCCAGTTTGGTGTAGTGGTTAAGTGCGTGGACTCTAATCTGGGAGAACCGGGTTTGATTCCCCACTCCTCCACTTGCACCTGCTGATGTGACCTTGGGTCAGTCCCAAGCTCTGGCACAGCTGTCCTTGAAAAAGAGCAGTTTGTGTCAGAGCTCTCTCAGCCCCACCCACCTCACAGGGCGTCTGTTGTGGGGAGGGGAAGGGAGAGGAGTTTGTAAGCTGCTCTGAGACTCCGAGTGAAGGGCGGGGTATAAATCCAATCTCTTCTTCTCTTCTTCTTCTTCTTCTTCTAACCCTGAAATACTAGGAATCTTATTCAAAGCACAAAAGTCTGAGGTTTCAGAAAGTATGGCCCAAAAGTCCTCGAGCAAATCTTGGCATTCATGAGGCCTAGCAACTTGGTGGAGCTTTGTTGCGTAAGAACGAAAGCCAGGCCTCTTGGGAAGCAGAATTCTTGTCTTTTCTTTTGGTATTTTTGCATTCTGTGTGCGTGTGTGCGTGCGCATGTCATGGCGACCTCTGGTGACTCCTACTGGGGAATGTTCAGAGAAGCGGCTTGATATAGCCTGCCTCTGGCCTCCTGGCCCTGGTATTCTCTGGAGGTCTCCCATCTAAATACTTGCCCGGGTCGGCCCCGCTTAGCATCCGAGATCTGACGAGATCGGGCTTGCCTGGGCTATCCAGGTCAGGTTGGGAAGCAGAATCCTTCATCCAGGACGCTCTCTGGCTTTCCTGCGTTCCTGTGGAATCACAGTGTACTGCAAGCCCATGATACTCTGCTAGACGTTTCTGTTCTATGGCATTTCAAGGCTGCACATTTTGTTCCCCCTTCCCTCATTTCCGTCATCACCTTATGAGGTCGGCTAGGTTGAAGGAGTCTGACGATGGGGCCAAAGAGACCCCGTGAGCCTCGATGGGCCGAATAGGGTTTTGGACATTTTTCACATTTATTTAGTTATATATTTTTCTCTTTGGCTGTTTCATAGGGGACCTGTGTTGGTCTATAGTAGAACAGATAAGATAACACCTTAGAGACCAATAAGATTTATAGGGTATAAGTCCTGGTTTTAGTCCTTGGATGGGAGACCGCCAAGGAAGTCCAGGGTCAGTGTGCAGAGGCAGGCAACTGGTCAGCAATGCTCCCTCTAAGCCAGGGGATCGAGGGTGAGAGGTCAGAGGTCAGAGTGGTCTTTGCAGAGACATGGCTCGGGGAGGGGCCGTGGCTCAATGGTATAGCCTCTGAGGTTCCAGGTTCAGTCCCCGGCATCTCCAGTTAAAAGGGTCAGGTAGGAGGTGATGTGGAAGGGGTCTGGAGACCAAGTCCTGTGAGGAAAGGCTGAAGGAGCTGGGTATGTTTAGCCCGGAGAGGAGACGACGGAGAGGTGATACTTCACACACACACACACAAAGGCTTTTGAGAGTCAAAGTGCTCTTCGTCGGGAACGTTCGTGCGCGGAATCATATACCTCAAAAATCTGGTCGGCAATGCTCCCTCTAAGCTGTAGAGTCTTGTGAGCAAAAATTCTACTTTGTGAGCTACTGGCATTAAAGCTGTGAGCAACTGATCTGGCTGCTGCATAAATTAGTTTGCTCTGGAGCCCTCCTTCCTGAGCTAAGACAAAAGTGTGTGAGCCGGAGGCTAAGAAACTGTGAGCTAGCTCACACTAACTCAGCTTAGAGGGAACAGTGCTGGTCGGTTTCAAAAATATAGCTCTTCTCTTCCAGAACTGCCCTGACCTGGATGGCCCAGGCTGGCCTGATCTCATCAGATCTCGGAAGCTAAGCAGGGTCGGCCCCGGTTAGCATTTGGGTGGGAGACCGCCACCAAGGAAGTCCAGGGTCGCTATGCAGAGGCAGGCAAGGGCACAAGCCACCTCTGGACATCTCTGGGCCATCCAGGTCGAGGCAAATCTCGTCAGAGCTCAGAAGCTAAGCAGGGTCGGCCCTGGCAAGTCTGTGGTTGGGGGACCCACCACCAAGGAAGCCCAGGGTTGCTCTGCAGAGGCAGGCATGGGCAAACCACCTCTGTTCATCGCAGCTTTCAAGAGTCAAAGTGCTCTTCGTCGGGAGCTTCGACTCTCGGAAACCTTGTTGGTCTCTAAGGCGCCACTGACTGTGACTACAGGCTGGGAAACGTTCAAGGGACAGCTCGAAATGGTGGCGATGCAGCTCGCTAGTTGCCAGGATCTCCCAGCCTCCGTTAGATACCGCGCCGTAGATTGTAAACTCCATGGGGCAGGGGGCAGGTTCCGCGTTGGTCTGTCTAGTGCCATGTTAACAGCGATGGCGCAAAGAAGACTTGATCTCCCAGCAATGGTCGCGCTAGAGGGAGCGATATTGGGACGCCACACAGCGTGGGTACCAGCTGTGCATTCCCTCGGTTCCTAATTGCACGGTCTCTCTGTCCCTCCCCTTCAAGATGCTCTTTTGTTCTTCCCTAGCTGTGGTGGCTCAAGTGGTTAAGATGCTGAACTGCAGGCTGTGGAAGGTCAGTAGTTCAGCAGTTCGAGACCCGGGTGCCGCATGATGGAGTGAGCTCCCGTCTCTAGTTCCAGCTCCTGCCAACCTAGCAGTTCGAAAGCAAGAAATTGCAAGTAGATAAATAGGTACCACTTCGGTGGGAAGGTAACAGTGTTCCGTGCGCCTTGGTGTTTAGTCATGCCGGCCATGTGACCACGGAAACGTCTTCGGACAGTGCTGGCTCTTCGGCTTTGAAACGGAGATGAGCACCGCAACCGTAGAGTCGGATCCGACTGGCTTTCGAGCAAGGGAACCTTTACCTTTACCTAGCAAGGAACCACATTTTAAGGAACATTTCAGTTTTCCTGGGGTGACTGTCGGGCACCTTAAAGACCATCGCATAGATATGCGGCTCCACTCCATTAACTCTCCTTTGATCTGTCAGCTTGGGGGCTGCGATCAGGTGAAGAGTGAACCCGGCTGAATCTTCTGTTAATTACACTGGAGGAGGGTTGAGCCATTGTTTGGAAGGGGCCTTGGATACACATTGCAATACAGGAACAGTGAGGCTGCCCCAGAGGCACTGAGAACAGGCAGTCCGGATGGCCTGCCGTGGGGCTCTCGCGAGTGACTCTTTTCTCTCTCCCCAGGCTCAGTACTGCAGCTCGCTAGAGGAGGAGGAGACGAAGGAGCTGAAGTTGTTCTCCCAGCAACGAAAGCGCGAGAACCTTGGCCGCGGGACGGTCCGGCTCTTCCCTGTCACCATCACTGGAGCCATTTGTGAGCAGGTACCGGGCTTCGTTCTCTCTCGCGGTGCCCCGAAACAGGTTGAGAAGAGCGGAGTTTGCCGTACTTGGGGAGCAAAACGATGAGCGAGGTGGCCTCACTAGATGTTCAGCAAAGCCCTTGATCTGGGCACTTGGCTCACTTAGAATCATAGAATCATAGAGTTGGAAGGGGCCGTACAGGCCATCTAGTCCAACCCCCTGCTCAATGCAGGATCAGCCTAGAGCATCCCTGACAAGGATTTGTCCAGCCGCTGCTGAAAGACGGCCAGTGAGGGGGAGCTCATCACCTCCCTAGGCAGCTGATTCCACTGTTGCACAACTCTTAATGTGAAAACATTTTTCCTAATATCCAGTTTGGCCAGAGATCCTGGAGGTTGTGGTCATCTTCTGGGCGTGGAACAGGGGCCACTGGGGATGTGTGGGGGGAGGTATTTGTGAATTTCCAGCATTGTGCAGGGGGTTCGACTAGATGACCTTGGAGGTACCTTCCAACTCTATAATTCTAAGTTTATTGAAATGAGCAGGATTTACTTCTGAGCAAATCCATTTACAACTGTCATGGCTCAGGTGGGGTGTCACCTGACGCTGCCACCACTCTGGATTTAGGTTCCCTTGAGAAGGCCCAGAGCACCCACCCAAGACCTCTAGACCTCCCTTTTGGCCGAATAACAGGCGTGAGGACTTGGAAGGGGCCGTACAGGCCATCTAGTCCAACCCCCTGCTCAATGCAGGATCAGCCTAGAGCATCCCTGACAAGTGTTTGTCCAGCCGCTGCTGAAAGGCGGCCAGTGAGGGGGAGCTCACCACCTCCCTAGGCAGCGGATTCAACTGTTGATCAACTCTTAATGTGAAATTTTTTTTCCTAATATCCAGTTTGGCCAGGGATCCTGGAGGTTTTGGTCGTCTTCTGGGCATGGAACAGGAGTCACTGGGGTGGGGGGTGGGGGGAGGTATTAGTGAATTTCCTGCATTGTGCAGGGGGTTGGACTAGATGACCCTGGAGGTCCCTTCCAACTCTATGATTCTAAGCTTATTGAAACGAGCAGGATTTACTTTTGAGCAAATCCATTTACAACTAAGATCCCAGGTGAGTAAGAAAGAACGGTCAGCGACCTGTGTTGGTGTGCACACCTTGAGAGCTAAGTTTGGGGTGACTCCAAACACCTGAGAAGGAGTACCTGATCTCCCGAGTTTCTCTGGGCTTGCTTAACTCGAGTGGGGAGCCTGAAGTTCTTTGCAGCGGCTGTTGAATCACAAGCTGTAATCTGTTGGCGAGGACTAGGCATTCCAGGGTGATTCCAGGACACTCCCTCGCTTGCTATCTCGGGTCATTCTCAGGTCATTGTCTGCTGGGAAGGAGCTCCGTTCTCCACCCACATCTATTCGTCGTCGGAGGTGCTTCTGAGGCTTTCTCCACGCAAGCTCCTGTGAAGAAGCTGCGCTCGTGGAGAACCTTCCCAACAACTGTAGTCGCTTCCCATTCGGACAGCCACCGCAGTCACCTATAGACAGTTCCGTCTCCACATTTACACTTTGACCCCATGGTCTACAACAGTGGAGATTCTTCTTCTTCTTGACCCCCTAGAAGGAAATCGCCTGAATACATTAATTGTGAATACAATGATTGTGAGCAGGGGTCATTTCGTAGAAAAAGAGGTGCAGGAGCTCATTAGCATAACTCATTAGCACAACTTATTTGCATGTGCCACACCCCCTGACATCACCGGGAGTGTGTCAGAAGGCAACACCCACCGCTCAGGTTCCACTGGACTGTTTTGAATTGCTAGCTATTGGGGGGGGGGAATATGCAGATCTGCCCCCACAGAGGAGGGAGAGCTTGTACCTGAAGGCGGGCCGGGGGTGGGTGGGCTCTGCAACTTACCTGGCTGCTTCTTGCTTGTTGTGGCGCGACTGAGGGCTGCTGGGAGCAGGGGGTGGGGCTTGTTGCATGTGCCCGCCCCCTGGGCTCCTTACTGCCGGAGCTCCGCTCCTGTGCGCTCCTGCAGGGAATGACCCCTAATTGTGAGTAAACAGACTTTAGTTTCGCCCGCTTTGTTTCCATTGGCTCTCTGCCAGGTTTCCTTCCAGGTCAGTCTAAACAATGGCACACAAGGTAAACAGATTAACCCTATAATGACTGAATTTTAGACCTTGCGACACACATATTTCCAACAGACAGTTTCTTATTTTGGGGCTGCATGGCTGGCTGCTGAACTTCCCTCTAGCAGCCCCCTGGCTTTCCCCTTAGACCTGGTGCAGCCAAGAGGAAATTGCATTGGTATCCTCGTCTCTTTCTGTTTTTTACCGTTGGGTGCTGCTCAGAGGGTGGACTAGTGGGCTGGTGGCAGCGTGGAGAGGGTGGGATGGGGGGCGGGCGCAGTGGCTGTTAGAACCACTAGCTGCTGCAGTAATGCTGGAGGCTTCTGTATGGGCCAGGGGCTTATGCTTTATCTCTGGATATGAGAGAGGTGAATCAAGAGACAGCTGTGGGCTCTGTCTTGACCTGCGCATGTCACGGACAGAGACTCATCAGAACAGGGTTCCCCAACATGGGGTCTCTCCCAGCTACGCCAGGCTCCAGTCTGCGCTTTCCGCGGATCGCGCCCCCATCCCCAGCACTGTACAATCCTAATCAAGGCCGCACCAACCAACGGGGGGCGGGGTGGGGGGAGGTATTCAGAGTTCGGACGATTGTGAAAAACCAGACCTGACGAAGATCTGGATCTTCTAGTCGGGTCTGAGCTGCCAGGGCAGGTTATGATAGAGCAACAGTGACACCTAGAGCCCAGGCGTGGTATGCCATCCTCTCTTTTGGTTTCTATTTAATTGCCTTTCCAGATAATTAGGGACTGGGGTTGGGTAGACTACCCTTCTGTTATTTATAACTATCTATTTAAAATGGGTCAATTGCCTTTTACCCTGACCCGGATGGCCCAGGCGAGTCCAATCTCGTCAGATCTCAGAAGCGAAGCAGGGTCGGCCCTGGCTAGTCTTTGGATGGGAGACCTCCAAGGAAGCCCAGGGTTGCTGTGCAGAGGCAGGCAACGGCAAAACCACCGCTGTTCACCTGTTGCCTCCAAAACCACATGGTCCCGGGATTACCATGTGTTACTTGTGGCTTGGCCACACTGTCTTTCCGGTATTACCAACCTGTTTCATGTTGTCCTGACCTGGATAGCCCAGCCTAACTCAATCTCGTCAGGTCTGGGAAGCTAAGCAGGTCGGCCCGGGTTAGTACTTGGATGGGAGGTCACCAAGGCAGCCAATGTGCGGTCGCCACGAGTCGGCTGTGCCTTGACGGCAAAATTCTTATTTAAGTGCCTTTTCCTGGGGTGTAGAGCCAGTTTGGTGTAGTGGTTAAGTGCGCGGACTCTAATCTGGGAGAACCGGGTTTGATTCCCCACGCCTCCACTTGCACCTGGCTGGATGACCTTGGGCAAGCCATAACTCTGGCACAGCTGTTCTTGAAAAAGAGCAGTTTCTGTCAGAGCTCTGTCAGCCCCACCTACCTCACAGGGTGTCTGTTGTGGGGAGGGGAAGGGAAAGGAGTTTGTAAGCCGCTCTACTTTGGGTAGTGAAGGGTGGGGTATAAATCCAGTCTCTTCTTCTTTTACCTCACAGGGTGTCTGTGGTGGGGGAGGGGAAGGGAAAGGAGTTTGTAGGCCGCTCTGAGACTCCTTTGGGTAGTGAACGGCGAGGTATAAATCCAATCTCCTCTTCTTTTAACTCACAGGGTGTCTGTTGTGGGGAGGGGAAGGGGAAGGAGTTTGTGAGCCGCTCTGAGACACCTTTGGGTAGTGAAGGGCGGGGTATAAATCCAATCTCCTCTACTTCTTCTTCTTCTTTTCAGTGAAAAATACTTAAATAGCCAGTTAAGCAGTATTTTCCGAAAGGTGGGGGGAGGTCAGTAATAATATGGTCACCCACAGGACTCATAAAATGACGAGAAAAACCGAGCCATTCTTATATTAACTGCCTAAATCTTAGTTAAGCAGATGGGAGAGATTCAGCTCCTTTTTAACGCACGAATCACTCAGGGACTCAGATCTTTAAAGCTCCTACCAGCTAATGTAAAGGAAATGTAAGTAAAATTGAACCTTTTAACGCTTGAGAGCCAATAAAACTGATTCTAAACAAGTGAACAGTGTGTGTGTTAAATGCTTAACAGTCTCTGCTTCCAGCTCCATAGCTGCCAGAGACTGTATGGTAAAAAGGAGAGCTGATTGACTAACCTTCTCTCAGAAAAGCCTCTGCAAGAAATTGCATGTGTATCTTTGCCAGCTCTGCCTGCCTGCTAGCAAGTTGCATGAAGAGTGAGTCTAAAAGAATTCCCCTGCCGATCCTCTTAAAGCCAGCTTAGCAATGCAAATGACTTGAGACACCTCGCCTTTGTTTTCCTCTACCTCTTGCATGCTCCTTAGCAATAAACCCAGTGTTCCCAGCAAGGCTTCTGAGCTCTTCCAAGCAAAGCTACCATCCACTGCAAGAGCACCCCCTCCCTGCTTTCAGCTCTAGTTGCATGCATGCCTGCTAAGTTTCTTCAAACACCACAGATCAGAATTTAGTTCCTGCTTTTTCTGACTGCTTAGTACACTGAAAGCAAGTTCTCAACGGTGGAAAAGGGACTGCATGCTGCAAAGGTTCCACAGCTAAATGGGACTCTAAGCATCAGTTTTTTCCCAAAGAGAAATCTCAGTTAGCACTAGGCATTAAGAAGCAAGCATTTCAGACAAGTCAGTGAATGAGCACAGCAGAGACATCTAGTGGCAGAGTTTGGAATTGCTAGGAGATCAATTTTGGTGCTAAATCTATACTGGAGCATTGAACTGTAGCTTGCAAAGAGGAGTTATGGAAGACACGGCAGAGACCACTGAAAGTGCAGTTGCAGAAGTTGTAGAAAGCACTGCACAACCTGATATGGACACAACTTCAAATCCTGAGCGGATGGCAACTGGAGCAATCAGCAAAGCATCTGCTTCCACCACAGCAATCAGATCAGAGGATGAGTTCACATACATGTCACATGGCCGGGTTCAGGTTCTAACCCCTGCAATGCATGACCATTTGAATGAAGAGAAAGAAAAATTGTACAGAGAGGCAGAGGGCGCCTGGAGAAAGGTGGAAGAGAGCCTGGACACACACACCAGCATAACCAATTTGGAGGATATGCACCATACACAGGAGCACATTTGGCTGCTGCATAAGTTAGTTTGCTCTAGAGCCATCCTTCCTGAGCTAAGACAAAAAATGTGTGAGCTGGAGGCCAAAAACCTGTGAGCTAGCTCACACTCACTCAGCTTAGAGGGAACACTGCTGACCACCTCTGGATGTTTCTCGCCTTGGAAACACTATGGGGTCGCCATTAGTCGGCTGCAACTCGATGCTGCTTTCCACCACCAATCCTGTGCGGGAATATAGAAGTGGCAATTGGGCCAAGGTTGCCCTAGAAGCAGGGATTTTAACCAATGCTCTCCCTAAGCTGTGGAGTCTTGTGAGCAAAAATTCTACTTTGTGAGCTACTGGCATTAAAGTTGTGAGCGAGCGATTTGGCTGCTGCATCAATTAGGACCCCCCCAATGTCCTGCCCTGGATAGCCCCGGCAAGCCCGATCTTGTCAGATCTCAGAAGCTAAGTGGGGCCGACCCCAGCAAGTGCTCGGAAGGGAGACCTCCAAGGAATACCAGGGCTGGGACACCAAGGCAGGCAATAGGAGGCCACCTCTCTGAAAGGTCCTAGCCCCACTAGGGGTCGCCAGAGGTCACCATGACTTCCAGGCATGCAAGAACATAAACACACACGGGCACACACACACAAAATACACCCAAAATAAGAAAAAAAGAGGGCAATTTACAGTTAATCATGACATTTGGACTAACAATATTCGTGGGGCATAGGGAAGACAACATACAGTATTTTTAATTACACACACATTGTAGCTGGCCGGAGGATTTGTCTGCGGGCTGGATCAGTCGTGTTCCGACGGCATGTATTCTTGTCGGCTGGCTGATGACGTCAGGGCTTATTGATGTCACGCTGCCGCGCTGCCACCGCCTGGCTGATTTGCTCCACTGCAGGGATGCCGAAACAGATCTTTTGTCTTTTTGATCTTGCCGCGCCACAGAAGTCACACTCGGCAGCTAACACCTTCCCAAAGGGAGTGGTGTGCCCACCCCCTTACGGGTGGTCCCCAATTTATCTACTTGCCGGAGCTTTCGAATCGCTGGGTAGACGATGAGCTAGGACAAGGCTTGGTTGCTCACACCAGCACGGGGCTAGAACTGACAAAGCTTGGCAGTTCAGATGTTATAGTTAAGCAGGGGAATTATCCCCTGCACCACCGCTCCCAGTAGCTGATTGGAGAGGCCCCGAGCTGCTGTCATGGGAAACAGTAATCCTGGCCTACCTTGCAGGGTTGTCCCACAGCATTTCCAGGAACATATTAGCCTCGTGTTTGAGATGTTTTGCTGAAGCACCGTGCAAGAGCTAAGGCTTGGTCTTCTTTCCTTGGCAGTGCGGGAAGCAGATATGCGGCGGGGACATCGCGGTCTTCGCCAGCCGAGCCGGGCACGGCGCCTGCTGGCACCCGCAGTGCTTTGTTTGCAGCACCTGCCGGGAGCTCCTCGTCGACCTCATCTACTTCTACCAGGATGGCAAGATCTACTGCGGGCGGCATCACGCCGAGCGCCTCAAACCGCGCTGCGAGGCCTGCGACGAGGTGAGGGCTCCCGCGTGGAATCGTTCCCCCACGAGGACTTGCAGCGGGGAAGGGGAAGTCCCACTCCTCCTGCTGCCCCCCTCCCCGCTTTCTCCCCTCTTGCTCTGTCTCCTCTCTACCCCCTCCTGTTGCACTCTTCTCTCCCCCAGCCCTGCCACACGATCTCCCTACCCATCCTTCCCTCCCACTCCTTCCTTCCCTCCCAAACTTTCTTTGCCATCTTATTCCAATTGCCTTCCTTTGGCTGATCCTTAACTGTCTTAAAACCAGAGGTCATTTCGGGGGGGATCGCGGGGGATCGCAGTTCCCCCGGGTGAGGTATGGGGGGCGGGGCACATGACGAAGCCCCGCCCCCTGCTTCCGGCCGTCCCGCTTCCAGCCCTCATTCAGCCAGGAGGAGGCAGGAGAAGAGGGAGGGTAAGTTGCTTCCTCCCTGCCTCTCTCCA